ACCTCCGGAGCATCTTCAAGGCCCTCGACGCCATGATGCGCAGCTCGTCCCCCGTCCTGGTCGGCAGCCAGACCCTGGCGGTGCAGCACTTTCACTCGTGGCTTCCCGAGCTCGCCGGGCTGCTGACGACCGAGGAGATTTTGCATATTGCCATTGACTTTATGGATTCCTGCTCCAACGTCAAGGGGAAGCTGGTGCTGTACAAGCTGGTGCTGATCATCAACTACGCGAAACTCGACATCTTCTCGCACCCCGAGCAGCGCTCCGCCCTCAGCGCCAACACGGTCCGGTGGATTGCGCCACACTGGGGTCACACGGACGAGGTGACGGAGCAGTGGCGAGAGCAGGTCCGTCTCTGCTGCTCGGTCCTCGCTAGTCAAGTCGACCATCTCGGCCCGGAGATCCCCGACTACATCCCCAAGATTATCGAGTCGTACCTCGCCATCCAGGCGGTACCCAAGAAGCCAAAGAGCCGACTGTCCCTTCTGTTCCCGACCACGTATCCGTTCCCCAGCAAGCCAATCGTCGGGGATGCAGTATTCGACGAGGCGCTCGTTGAGCTTTCGGCCGTCCTCTCCGCGCTATCCAACTCGCCTAGCGGGATGCAGTTGGAGCTGGCCGAGGACGACCTCCACGTCATCGTGGATAGCTCGCTCCGCGTGCACATGAGCATCTTGCAAGGCGAGACGTTCCCGTCCAACTGGCTGAGCGTCCACATCTTTCACCACAAATCGACGATGCGCACTCTGCAGTATCTCGCCAGCATCTTGCTCGAGTCCTTCCTGCCCCACCCTGACGACGCCGAGGGCTTCAACACCGAACTCTGGAAGATGTTCTTTACGACCCTCCTTAAGCTGGTGGGGAGCCCACAGCTCGCGCTCGAGACATTCCCAGAGCAAAAGAGACGCGCCGTCTGGAAGATTGCGGGTGATGTCCGCGAACACGGGGCCGACCTGCTCAGGAGAACGTGGGAGGCCATTGGGTGGGAGACGAGCGCGGATGAGCGGTCGCGCTATGGCCACTCCAAGATGGGAGGGTACCAGGTGCAGTACGTGCCGACGCTCGTGGGGCCCATCGTCGAGCTCTGTCTCAGCGTGCATCAGGGGCTGCGAGGCATGGCTGTCGAGGTGCTCCAGACCATGATCGTCGGCGAGTGGACGCTGAGCGAGGATCTGTCGGTCATCCAGACGGAGATGATTGACTGTCTGGACATTTACTTCAAGACCAAGCCGCTGACGGAGAGCATCCTGCAGAAGCTCTTTGTTGGCGAGCTGCTGGCCCGCTTCGAGCCTCTGTCGAGGACGCCCAACGAGCCGCTGTACCAGGCGCTGCAGGATCTCATTGGTACAGTCAATGAGTTTTTGGATCTGCTGGTGGCGGTCCACAGCGGTGACGGGTCTGGAGAGGCTTCGCATCTCATCCACCGCCTCCGACTGATGGAGTTCCTGCGCGACATGCAAAAGGAGGAGATATTTATTCGATACGTCCACCAGCTTGCGAATCTCCAAGCCGAGGCTAGGAACCACGCGGAAGCCGGTCTCGCCCTCCGCCTTCACGCTGATCTATACGACTGGGACCCCAACCGGACGACGCCGGCGCTGCAAGACCCCGAGTTCCCGGCGCAGTCGCAGTTTGAGCGCAAGGAGCGCATCTACTTCTCCATGATCAAGCACTTTGAGGACGGCGAGGCGTGGAGCAGCGCGCTCGCGGCCTACAAGGAGCTGCAGCTGCAGTACGAGACCAACATCTTTGACTTTGCCAAGCTCGCCCGCACCGAGCGCGCCATCGCCACCATCTACGAGACCATTGCCAAGAGCGACAAGCTGGTGCCCAAGTACTTCAAGGTCATCTACAAGGGCCTCGGGTTCCCGACGAGCCTGCAGGACAAGGAGTATGTCTTTGAGGGGTCGCCAACCGAACGGGCCTCTGCGTTCACCGACCGCATGCAGGAGATGTACCCGGCCGCTCAGATTGTCACGAGCGAAAACATTGACGATTTCGAGGGCCAGTTCCTGGTCATCTCGCCGCTCAGCGTGCACCGCGACCTGAACCACCATGTCTTCCAGCGGGCGCGTGTCCCCCAGATCATCCGCGACTATCTCGTGTCAGGCCACCCGCAAGCCTTTTCTGTTGGCCTCAAGCGCAGCACGACCGGGCCCGTTACGGAGCACTACTCGGAGAAGATCATCTACACCACAGCCGACCCCTTCCCCACCATCCTCCGGCGCAGCGAGATTGTCGCCACGCGCACCGTCCGGCTGTCGGCCAAGGAGACAGCCCTCGAGCGCATCGTGCGCAAGACGACCGAGATGGCAGCCATGGAGCGCAAGGTAGCCGAAGGCGACGAAGACGAGGAGGCCCTCCAGGCCCTGGTCGATGCCCTCTCCACCAGTGTCGATCCCTCCTCCGAGACGAGCATCGCGTGCTACCGCGAGCTGGTCCCTGGCATGACACCACGGAGCCGAGGCTCCTCGCCGGCCGACGACAGCGACCTCGACGACGACGAGCCCGAGCCCGACGCGCAGGAAAACGCCATCAAGATGGCCCTTGTCGACCACGCCATCATGATCAAGCGGTGCCTGGCGACCTTTGCGCGCAGCCCCCACAGCGTCCTCGTCAAGCACGGCGAGGAACTGCAGCTCTGTAAGCTCCCCTCCCCACACCCTCCCCACCCACATGCTAACCCCCACCCCAAGTCTTCGAATCCACCTACGCCCCCGAAATCGCCTTCTTCATGCCCGCCCAGCCCGCCGCACCGGTCCTCACCACCCCCTCCCCGACGCCCACCTGGCCACGCTCCCCGCCTCTCACCGGCGGCACCGCCCACCAGAAACAGCCCTCCCTGACCTCCCCCCTCCTCACCAACGGCACCCACGCCACAGAGGAAGTAAAAACCGTCAAGCCCGTGTCCATCCGCCACGGCCGCGGGGCGCGCCTCAGCTTCCTCGGCGGCGGCAAGCACAGCAGCAAAAAAGACAGCGTGTCGTCGCCGCCGCCGCCCGTGCCACAGGTCAACGGCCACCACCACCACCAGCGCGAGGAGAGCGACCTCGGCGGCGGGGCCGGGGCCGGGAACCGCCGGAGCTTCTTCCGCCACGGCGGCGGGGGGTCGTCGACCGTCAGCAACGGCGACCTGACGCACATGAGCGGCGGGGCCGGGAGCGATTCACGGCGGACGCTGATGGGCAGCGGGATGGACTGGGTGACGGATTCGTCCGGGGTTGGGGGGACGACGGCGGTGGGGGGCGGGCAGGGGGAGTATACCCTCGGGAGTGGAGCGGACGGGAAGGGGGGGATGTTCTTTGAGAGCGGCGCGTCGGCGTATTCTGGCGGTGGGGTCGGGGGGAGTGTGAGGAAGAGGTTGAGCATACTGAGGCTGGGGAAGAAGAGTAGCAAGGGGAGTGGGATGATGGGGAGTTTGGATGAGGAGTGAGGGACGACAGACACTACCGCACACGACGCGGGATGGTCTCTTGGTTTTGTTTCTTTTGTTCCATGGGATGGATGGGTTGGCTTGGCTTGGGCGGTCGTTGCTTTGGCTTTTATGTTGGTTGGGGAGGGAAAGATTACCCGAGTGAGCGAGCGAGAGGGAAGATGGGGGGACGCACGCGGCAGTAGCGATGGCGTTTTGTTCTTGGGAAGACTTGACTGTGCCGCCCGCTCGCCCGCCGGCGGTTCTTTTAATTTGTCTGTCTTTTTTCTTCTTCATATCTTCTTGTACTTGGATTCCCCCCCACACCTTTTTTTCTTGTTCATGTTCATTCTATTCCAGCCGCTGTCGTTACTCTTGCATGGTTTTCTTGCGTCGTCGTCGACCGCGCCTTTCCTCCCTCCCTCCCCAGGCCTTGTGGCTCGTTGTCACTTTATTTCTTTACCAAGTCTTCTTCTTCTTGTATGTTGTTTGTTTTCTTGCCATCTGTATTCCTACACCTGCATGGATTTTCCCCTTGCCTGCCGATGGGGTCTGGTATGAGGCAGGCAGGCAGGCAGTCGGGTTCTGTGTATTTTCTTGTTAGAGGACGGGGGAGTCGTTGGTAGTGGTGGTGGTGGGGAGTGTCATATAGCGTGCGTTGTGTAGTGGTTTTATACCCGGTGTGGTCGTCGCGGTGGAGAGTTTTAGGTACAAGAGAAGAAGACATATTGGAAATGTTGTGTCGGATCAATTTGCGTGTGGTGTGGTGACTCTGCTGTTGAGGGACGTGACTTCCATCCTGATGAAGCTTGTATTCTCCACTTCATCGTCCTCCGGGGGGGGGGGGGGTCGAGCTGACTATGCAGACGATGATGCCCGATAATGAGTGTCCACTGTCCAGCAGCAGAGCACAAAAAAAATAGAAGAGGCCAAAAAAAACATACAACACCAGGGATTCGCTGGTCATCACCGACCCAACTACTAGTCTGGCCCTCACCGGCTTATCTATGGGAGAGCGGACGGGATCCCGAGCTTTCCGGTGGGTATGGTCGTATGTGTCTGGAGTGGCAGTGAGAAGGGGTTAAATCTTAGGTGCTGAGGAAACGGTGCCCCCTTTAGTCGGCCGGGTGGACGGGAGATTAACGCAGAATGCGGGTTGAAGACGAGAACTGGGGGATGGGATAACACGTCGAGCATATCCGGGTACCTCGCCCGGTATGGAAAATAAACTCTGCCAGCTATCCTTCGTTATTCTGTATGTAGCTGCTCGAAACCTAGCATCATAGGTGTCTGGATTCTCCCATCCTCCACAACAGCCTGGTGTTTTCCGTTTAAGGGCCGTGACGTGACACTGGTACTTATTTTACTTGCAAGATGTCCTCGGTCTGTGGGCAGGGCAGGTTGGATTAAGGTAGAGGAGAGGATAAGTAGATGCTTGTAAAGGGTACGAAAAGAAGATAGAGATTTATAGCAATAAGCCTTTGCAGAGAAACGCAAAACAGAACATCGCCAGCGGTCGGGGAGGAGAGAGATGCCAAAAAAAAACCTCTATGTTTACCGGTTGGTAACTGACTCAGGGGCAAAAATAGGCGCCAACCGGGGATTGAACCCGGGACCTCTCGCAAATTTGTACCTCAGGGTGAACCCTAAGCGAGAATCATACCGCTAGACCATCGGCGCTGATGATCAGACAGATGTCTGATCCGATTGTTGATTGGCTGGACGGAAAAGGGGTATATGATCTCCCCTTCCGCTGTCGAGAGCCGAAAAACAAGAACTCCTGGGAAAAGGGGCACAAACAGCCGCGAACAAGGAATTCCAACACAAATCTTTCCTCTCCGGTTTCCATGGGTCCATCGGGGGGCATTTCCACCCTCTTCGCCTTTGCGTAAAGGAAAGAGACAACCACATCTCAGGGCGTTGGTTGCCTCCTGCACCCCCTCCCCCCCCTTTCAACCATGACTGCATCCCCATCCCCATCCATCCCACCAGCAGCAACGCAACAACCTGCACGCGATCAAACTCCAAAGCTTAAACCGCCTTCGTTGGCCGCCCAGAACTGAAGCTACCCCTCCTCTTTTTCCCCTCCCCCACGTCCCTCATCAATATTCCCATGACGCTGTGTATCCCCCTCCTTCTCCATCCAGCCAACCCCAACCCACGCTGGCTTGCATCTGATCTCACACAGCAACAACAAACAAACTTTTTTTTCGATGAAACTCCCCTGTTCCATTCGTCCGCTCCCCCGGCTTCCTCGGGACTTGGGAGTCCGTCAATTGGTGGTGGTGGTGGTGATTGTCGTCGGTGGTGATTGTCGTCATGTAGGACCCGAGACACCACCATCGAAGGAAGGGAACGAAGTGGTATGCAGCGCGGCGGCGAGGGTTCCATTCCCTCGACTGCTCGCTGGCTCGCTGGTTTTGTTTCAGCTGCAATCGAGAAAAATAGATGACTGCACATGTAGCGCTGCATGCTGCATCATGCGTTTCCATCTGCATGGTCTTTTCTATCGCATTCTTCACCAACACGCGCGATGCCCGCCATCATTTACGGATGGTGTTTGTTGACAGCGCATCTTGGGGCGTGGCCTTGTTGTCGACGCCACAATATATCTCAAACATGCAGGTCTATCATGGTTTTCGCTGGGAGGTCGGCAGTTCCGTCGGTGTCTCTCCCTTCGGAAGGAGGGCCTGGAGGTTGCGGGATGGGGAATCGGGAGCTTGTCGCTGTCTCTGAGGGCGGAAAGTGGGATTAGGATGACATTGATGTGTTGAGATGAAGTCACAGTGGAGGCGGGGGGAAGGGCTGGAGTCGCAATTGAGAAAGAGCATGGTAGATTGAACAACGACATATCCTACTAACTAGAATCCCTATCGCACAAGAAGAAAATGGTACAAATGAGATGCCGTCGGAAAGACTGTAAGGGGAAGTATCCAGAGCCATCATATCGTGTCCTCCGTCCTGTACATACAAAGGAAATCCCAGCCTCGAGTGGCGATACCCCTGAACCGATCAAAACAAACAACCCCTGTCAACCCTCCTACATCCGGCCCGGCCGCGCCGACTCCCAACTCTCACTCCCCACCGCATCTAAACCCCCCGTATAATACGCAGAATCCCCACCGGAACTCCCCAGACAGTCGCCATCCTCCACGCCGGAGCTCTCGGCCACCCCCACTGCGGCAATGAACGGATCCCAGTGAAGCTCGCCCGTAGGCATCAAGTAGGGAAACCTCGGGTCCTCCGCAAAGCCGTCGATGACCTGCCCCAGCTCGTCGCTTTCGTTCCCGCCACCCCCGGCATACATGGAGCCCCCGAGCATTTGGCCCAGAAAGTCTGGCACAGTCGCATCGAGGTCTCGCTCGGGCGTCGGTTCCGCCTGCGCCTGCCACTGCCACGTCCGTGCCAGCTTGCATTCCATGTCGCGCGCGATTTCGTTGGCCTTTTGTACGGCTTTGACCTCGGCCGTGAGGAAGGCGCGCTCGACCTCGGCGACGAGCATGGGCTTGACCGCGCGGAGGATTTCGCGGCGGACGAGGGCCTTGTACTCGGCCAACTCCAGAGGGGACATGGGAGAAGTGGAAGACTTGTCGTGGCCCGGGGTGGCGGCGGTGGTAATGGTGGTGGTGGCGGTGGCGGTGGGTTTGACGACGGGGGCCAGGACGGGCGTGCTGTAGACTTTTACACGGTTAGCATTGCACAGCGGGGATGGTGGAGGAGGTGATAGGACATACAAGGCGACGGAATTGTCTTGTCATCCGGAAACAAGACGCGGTACATGTTCCCCCACCGCTCCTCCTCGGAGGTATTCGCGCGGGCGCGCACCCTCAACAGGTCCTCCTGCTCGTCGGTAATGACATCCGTCCGGGCGTTGTTGCTCAACTGGCACGGCGTCGGCGCGCGCTGGTGATCCTTGAGCTCTTTGGCGTCATCAAATGACTCAAAGCAGCGGTTACAAGCCGTCTTAAGCGAGTGCTTGCGGTAGATGTGCTCCCTATCAACAGCTGTCAGCAACGCCGCCCTGAAGAGGGTCAGAGGAAGATAACTTACTTCACACGATGAACTTCCCCCCACCCCGGCCCCATACAGGTCTTCACCCCGGCATACCTCGCCGGATCATGCTGCGCAAACGGACACGCCAATTTCTTCCCACCAAGGCCGGCCTTTGTGGGTTCGCGCTTCGCCCGCTTCTTCTCCGCCACACTCCCCACCGCCTTCACCGGCACTCCCCCTGAGTCGTCTCCTCCCCTTCGCCGTTTCACCCCCCTCGAGCCCTGCAGGTCGTCGGATTCAAGCCATGAGTCCAGCCGCCCTTCAATCTTAGCCATAGAGAGTTCGACGATCCTCTTTTTGATGGCCTCAAGAAGCGGCTGGTGGGTCTTGGAGGTACCGATACAATCGCTGCTGTCTCTCTCGTTCGCGGGGTGGTGGTGGAGTTGCTTCGCGACGGCGGCTACAATTTCAGAGATGCCGGTGCTAGAAGCGGGATAGGTGGTGGTGGTCCGGGTGGCGCTGCTGGCGAGCCGGGAAGTGTCCATGTGCAGAGTGGCCGGTTCGGAGGCGATTTCATGAAATCGATCCGCTTCTCTGTTTCCTCTGTTAGTATCGCCGGGATGGGGGAGGGGGTTGAGAGGCACGTACGACTGCAGAGAGCGGACCTGAAGACATGAGATTCCGGTCCGAAAGGGGTGGGGTTAAAGGTCCAGATAGTATTGGTGGTTTGGGTTTGTGTTGGTAGTGGTGGTGAGAGTTGGGCAAGTGGCAACCGTGACAGACGTCGCAAGGGCGGTGTCAACACACGGCGTTGTGACGATTGGTGTTGGTATCCGAGAGATGTTCTCTTGATCAAGTGTAAAGACGTGCTCAGCAACTCCAAGTGGGCAATGCAGTAGATAGCTCGCTGAAAATCGTCGTCAGTTAGTCAGAGAAGCAGACAGACATCAACAACAAACCAGAGACTCACAAGACTTCAACCACTTTATACCACCCTCGCCCCCAACCCTCTTCCCACCAGAGCACAGCCGCCCGAGCCCAAGTTTGCGCAAATGCGAAAACTCCAGCATGGGATCCCCCCTCCCCTCAGTCTGTCCTCCGTCATGACACACCCGCCCACACCCACCCTCTCCGGCCCGCCGCTCCATTCGCCAATGCCTTCAATGCAATACCGCGCAGGCGTGCGTCCGACGCGAACTCCACACGACAACAACAGCCCGGTCCAGCCCGGGCATTGGGCACAAACACCAAGGGAATGTCCCCAGCTGCAAGTGCAGTGCAGCCATGACACGCATGACCCAGAACCGCATGGCATGGCACGATGGCTCAGCGTCGACCTCGAACATCGACCACATGCGATAGGTGGCCTTGCATGTCCATGCCCACGGTGCACCACCAGACCAATCTTCGATTGCTCAATTGCGAACTCTCTTGTCCTGTCTTCATCCCTCGAGTGGCTGTGCGGTGCCATCTGGTTTCCCCGCGTCCCCCTCCCCTCCCCGCGCCCCGGCGTTCCGTCCGTCCCTTCGTCCATTGGGGTGCCGATAAGGCTGTGCTCCGCGGGGTGAGACGAAGGAAGGGCAGGCGCATGCGGACGCATCCCATCGCACCTCGCAGCATGTACCAATCCATGTGCGTCGTTAGTCGTTCCGATGCGGCATGGGCAGTCGTCAGTGACGCGACGCAGTCCACGCCGGGTCTGGGTAATTTGAACTGGACGCCGCGCTAGGCGAAATGTCTTGCATCGCATCCAGGCTCCGGCAGGTCAGGGGCCTGTTCTCGGCCTCGCCATCTCTTGGTTTCGCCACCGTAGGTGCACGTCGGTGTCTGGAGGGAGCGGGTGTAACGGTTGGCTCAAATGCGGGGAGGACCGAGTCGGAGCTGTGGCTTTCGGCGTGGTGCTCGGCCTTCGGTGAGATGCCGTGTTCGGCACGACGGCATCGTGGGATTCGTCAACCGCATGGCCCGAACGGGTATCGCATGAACCCTTCAACCGCTCAATTGCGAAGACGCAAAATTCCTGTGTTTTTTTTGCTTTGAGATGAGGATGAGTCAAAAGCTTTCGGTAGACCTCGTGGAAGCCTAGATTTTCGGTCTTGTTCGAACGGGGCGCGGTCCATTTCATGGCCGAGATATCCAAATCCGGCCAAAATGATGCCGGCGAGGGCCCGGGGGCGTCGAAATTCCCGGCTGCGCAAGATATCACACTGCTATCACCTCGATGCCGTGTTTGATGGCTATGCCACGGCAAGGGGCTGTAGCCTTGTTGCCTTGATTTCGGCGCTGTGAGTCGTATGCTGGTCTGTTGGTCGTTTGTTGTTCGCAGATGGTGAGAATGTCCAGGAGCGCGCAATCGCGGGTTGGGAGGCCAAGTTTGATATGATTCCCAGGAAATAGAAGATAAAAGGATGGCGATGTCGTCGTCGATGAAGGTATCGTGAAGAGATCATCATCAAACCCTCCAACCCGCAGGAACCTCGAATAGCTTTCGGTTCCAGGAGAACACCTTTGTATTCCAGTACGACACACCCAGTTGCACACCGCCCCTAGAAATCAGCAGTCACACCGCTACACCGGCATCCAACCCACCGCAACCATGCAGCAGCGTGTTGACCCCAACATCCGCGTCTCAGGGGAGGAGTAGGACCACCTGCCTCTTGTGATACGTTGGCCAAGCTGACCAGACA